CTTAGCTTGGGGTGAAGTAACTTCTTGCAATCGCATGTGGGGAGGCCTTGCAGGGTGTCAGGAGGATAATTGCTCGTTTGCTCTACCACAGAGCACCATCTGCTCTTGAAGTAATGCCTAAGGATGTGAGAGTACACCGGGGTCGGGTAAGCAGGCAGGGCAGCACGGCAGAGATTTCTCCCTGCCTGTTTTATTATCATTTGTTTTATGGTTGCCTGCCCTGGGTCCAGCTGTGCTCAAAGCCCCATTGTGCCAAGTAGTGTCCATAGAGGGAGTCCTTCCCATGCCGAGCTGCCGGTCTCATCGGGGAAAAACAAAGATGAAGTGGCCTTTATGCTTATGTCAGAATAGTGTCTGTGTCTGGAGCATTGCCTGGTGCACTTTCCACCAAGCAGTTGTACAATGGTTTTCTGTTTTGAGGAGGTGAGAAAAAAATGGGAAACCTCCTAGTTTCCCTCACTTCCGTGGTAAAAATAGCAAAAGGGGGGGGGGGAGGTGGGGGAGAAAAAAAGGTAAACATAGCTGCCAAAAATGTGTCTGGATCCAGGCAAGGAAATTTGCATGAGGAGCTCATCTGTCCTAGAAAGAATCACCAGGTGCAAAAAAAAAAAAAACTCTACCTGAGTCCAGAATGGAGAAATGCATTATTAGTGTTCTGCCCCAGCTCAGCTCCAGGCAAAGTTATTTCTAAGTGTCTAGTTTGGTGAGAGAAGTGGGACTGGGCTTCAGTGTTGACTGAATAGGAGTAGGAAGTCTTCTTTAATAATCTTCAAGTGTGAGGACTGGAAGTGTCCTCCAGCTGCATCCACAGACGCCATCCAGCTCAGCACCCCAGACCCGTCCCTGTCCTGCCCGGGGTGGGTCTGTATCCATTCTGGATGGGATGTGCTGGTTCTGGCCCGGATCTCCAACAGAGCACAAAGAAGGACCATCCACTCCACACAAGCCTATGTGCCTTGAACACTGCTGACCTGCAAGTCATCTCTTCTCTGTTTCAGGCCTGTATTAAGGCATCAGAGCTCTGATGCCCCTGTCTTTACCACAACACTACTGAAGATGCTTCAAACTGTCTCATTATCTGATCAAAGCACCTTGTGCTACTATTCCCTCTGCTCATGGAAAGCAGCCAGTGCTGCTGGAGCTGCTGTCTGTCACAAGAAGGAAAGGACTGTCTTGTGGTTTGGCTTCAATTGCAGTAGTTCTGGGGGTCTTGCTGTGCTCTTCTACAGAGGGTGGGAAGCTTGAAAAGACTTGAGTTCTTGAAAGAGGTGGTTTTTTTTTTTTCACCTTGAAAAATTCTTCATTAAATCAAAAAGCTGCTCCCAACCCGCTCTGCTGCAAGAACTGTTGCATGAAGATAAAGTCAGGTCTTATTGTTGTGGAGCTGCATCTCAGGAGACTGAGCATTCGCTCAGAATTAAAAGCAGGCAAGGAGCACCAAGCAGCACAGCACATTTCTCAAGCCTTTCCTTCCCGCTCCCCGCCCCCCCCTCCAGTCTGTTTCGGTTTATATAAACCGCCGTATAGGCATTTCCAAGGGATTTGTGCCTGGCTGGGGTAGGTAGCCCGAAGGGTTTCAGCCAGCTGGTCCCTAATCCACAGGAAATGCCCGGTGTCTCTATCCCGACTGCTTGCACCAGCGGCTGGGAGCGAATTGCTCCGCTTGCAGCTTTCCCGTCTGCCAGCAGATGGCACAGCTCATTTGAATAAATTTGGAGCAGGAAGGAGTAGCCGTGGACATTGTGGTTTCTTTCTTAGAAGTTCTGATTTTTCGGTTTCAGACATGAACAAGAAACCACACTGAAGGTTACGATTAAAAACCCCAGAGGTTTCTGCAGAAGAAAGTATCACTTTGTCGTGCACACCAGCACGCTAAGTACAGTACAAGGGCTTTTTCTTATAAAAATGTTTCTCTCTCAGCCTTACCCTTGTTCAAGCAATATTATTTCTTATATGGCATCTCTTAATTTCTCCCTTGCTATGTCTGCTAATTCTGCTGTTCCTCCTTCAGTTGCTTCTGCTGGCAGAGATGGATTCTCAATGGCTTCGCATAACTCCCTTGTCAGGTTTTTCCAACACAGAGATGTGGTTTTCACACAGTTTTCCGCCAAGGCTGCTGGCTGTTAGCTCACACTCCAGAGATTTACGCAGTCAGCTGGGGCCAGCCTGAGTTCATTCTCCACTGCCGGTTGGAGGAACAGCTTGAAGTTGGTAAAAACTGTTACGAACGTGCGAGCGCTGCCAAATCGAGCTTTGCTCATGACAGACATGGTCTTTAACTCCCAGGGGCACTGAGGGTAGCATTTGTGTATCCTCCTGGCCAAAAGCTTTAAGGAGGGCCAGCATTATAAGGCGTTGTAATGTTACATGCATTGGATCATATGTAATCTGGAAGCCTGATGCCAGAATTAACTCACTGTTCCCACTCTGAGTACAGCCACAGTGGAATTGGGGAGGCACGTTCACGTGCAGCATCTTTGTCTGAAGCATTTTTCTGCACAGAGCTTATATTACAGTTGGACTCGATGATCTTGGAGGCATTTACCAACTTTAATGATTCTGTGATTCTGTGTCACATGTGAGAACAGCAGCATATTCAAATGTACAGAAAATGCAACCCATTTCCCATCCAAAGGTTCCAGCAAACTGAGATACCTGTCAGGTATCACCAAAAGCATGGGAAAAAGAATTCACAGGGATACTTCATGTTTTGAACGCTGTTTGGATACATCTTGTGATATAACCAAGTCAGTAAATGTGATCCAGAATAGGGGATGAGTGGAGAGAAGGAATAGTACAGCAAGGGAGCAGGGCAATAAACAAAGGGCTGTCATAGAACATGTAGAATAATTCATTCCAATTCACACAATGATAATTATGGAGCATTTCTTTAAACATCCATCACCCAAATGAAGTGTTTCAACTCTGCGTGGTAGAAGTTGTTAACATAAAAATGCAGACAGGGTTCTCTGCAACTGGTATTCAAACTGATACCACTTTGCATTGGTGTCAGTATGAGTGGATTCCTAATCTGTGAATCATTAACATACACCATGGGATAGTTTTGCATGATACCTTTTTATTAATCATGATCATCTGTTCTTAATTGAGTCTTTCTAAATACCCAATATCTCACTGGCCTCCCTGAAATGTCTGTGTTTTGGGAAGATCTCTCAAGGGCAGTTTACGAATGCACAAAGTGCCTCTAACCCAGGAGGGTTTGCAGGTGAGACTCTGGCTCTCGTGGAGTGTAAATTGATATGGCTCCAGTGCACTGAATAAGACGATGCCGGCTGAGGCCAGCACAGAACTGGTCTCTCCATCCTCCCCTGCTCTCAGCCCCATCACACACACTGCACTGGCAGAGATGGGCAAGCTGATCTGAGCATAGCCTTTCTCTGCAGAGATTGCCCAGCACTGGAATAGGATCAAGCCCTTCCTTTGGGTAATGAGAAAGCAGAAAAACCTTCCTATTTAGCCTTTGCATTTCACTGGCAGAAAAACAAAGCTGTTGAGAAAATACATTCCTAACAAATGACTGACTTGTTCTGTAAGGGGTTATTCCCCTACTTTACGCATTCACAAAGATGATAAACAACATATGGCTTAACCGGGCTGTCCCCATCTTGAAAAGAGGTGTTGCTCCTACCTCCCAGAGGCACTGCAAGTTGCAATTACTGCTCTGAAGTGATGCAAGATCCCTGCTCGAGCGATGTTATATAAAGGTTGTTGTTGTGTGACATACAGTAGCACATCCACCCAGCATGGAGTTGTTATTGCACCAGCTACAGCACAAACACATAAGGAGGGACCATCCCTACCCACAGAGGTTGGACAGGCAGGGAAGCTGAGGCAGGGATGACTGAATGTGCCCGAGCAGGTTTGGGGCAGAGCTGTTGTATAGAGACAGGTCTTAGAAATTCATCCCTAGCAAATTGTTGCATTTTCCACATAAGCGTGGGCTAAGAGGACTCAGTTTTTATGGGTGCCATGCCCAAGTTTTGCTTTAAAGGGTGCGGTGAAAGCAACGTTAGAGCATAATCCAACTCGAAGGGCTGTGGAGAGACGTTTTATTACTGCCTGAGCTGGGGAGGGGAGGAGAGGATCAGGCTTTGAAATGTACAGTGTTTCTAGATCTAAAAGTTGATAGTGAATCTCAGCCAGGGTATAATACACTGTAATACAAAACCTGGCTTGTCTGCATGAGACTCCAATGGCAGTCAAATCCCCTTTCAGTGGCCACTGCTCCATTACTTAAAAATCAATAATAAAATATGAAGCTTTTATTGATTCCCCTCGTGGTTTTTTATTGCTATTTTTTTTTTCTCCAGGAGGGTTTTTGGCATCACTGGTGTTTGGCTGTTTCTTGCTCAACCTCTTTGTTTTCCTATGGCACCTTCATCTCAGGCACAAGCCCCTGAGCACAGAGAGGCCAAAGCCAGCCTCGCCTTTCCGAGGTGCGAAGGACCTTTTCCACCAAGAGAGAGGAAGGGTCCTGGGGTAATGAAACCTTACAGGGGAGAGGTTTGGGAGGAGCTCTACTTTTTAATTACGGAAACGTTGCGCTGTTAGAGATCACCTGCTGCAGCATTATAAGTTTCTCTGTAGGCACTGTATGAGTGTGAGGGGGGCCGGGACGAGCGGCAGCCCTTCGGGGGGGCGTGGGGCCGGGCAGCCCCTCTCCCCGCGGGGTTTGTGTCTTTAACAGGGCTGGCGGGGCGCCGGGCGGGCGGAGGCGTGGTGAGCCGGGAAGGAGCCAGTTTCCTGCTTCCCCGCTCGCAGCCGAGCGGCCGCGGCGGCGGGGGGAGGCGCTCGCCGCCCCCCATCCATCCTTCCATCTCTCCCTCCCTTCCTCCCTCCCTCCACCCATCCATCCATCCACCCATCCATCCATCCGTCCGCTCACCCAGCCAGCCACCCCCGCCCGCCCTCCATGGGCCGGCGCGGCCGGCGCTGAGCGCCGGGAGGCAGCGCCCGGCGGCGCCCGGCTCCGCGATGAGCGGCGGGGAGGTGGTGTGCTCGGGCTGGCTCCGAAAGTCGCCGCCGGAGAAGAAGTTACGGAGATACGTAAGTCTCTGCCCACCCCATCTCATCCTTACCCCGGCCCCGGGAAAGCCGGGATCCATCCCCCCGCCTCCATCCCCGCTCCTCCGCCGCCAGCCCGGGTGCACCTGCCGCCGCCTCTCCCGGCGCCGCGGAGGCTCGGCTGGGCGGGGGTGCCCCTTGCCCTGGCGGGGAACGAGCGCTCCTGGCTCCCCGCCTCTCGGGGAAGGCGGGTGGGAGCATCCCGGAGCCCCCGGCTTGCTCCTGCCCCGGGCTGGCGGGATGGGCGGTGGCGGCCGCGGCCGGAGCGGACACTCGGCGCTGGGGCCGCTCGGGCTGCGCCCCGCGGTGGCCGCGCTCACCCGGGACCTGCGACCGTCACACCCCCGCCTTTGAAGTCGTCTGTTTTAGGGGAGGCTGGGAGTACCTTGTCCCAAAGAGTAAAGGTACTAACGCATCTTGGATCTCCCCCAACATTCCCATAATAGTCGCTCTCCCCCATCCCGTGCAGGGTTACTATTAATCATTGAACGTCCGAACCCTTTGAAGATAGCACCAGTAGCGCTTCGATAGCCTTTGTGTCGTTAGCGGCTGAGATCAAACACTTCAAAGAAGTTGTAAAAAGAGGGTCCAAATGCCAGCTCTGTCACATTCCCCACTCATTGAAAGAAATAACTGTTCTTTGCGTCCTCCGCCTGACGCTCCTGCCATGTGCCACGAGCATTAGCGCTCAGAATCGCGCTGCCGTCCTATGACTCGGCACATCGCTCCCCACGATGTCCAGGGTTCCACTCCCTGACACCAGTGACCAGCCTCAGCCAGCCTTCAGATGACTGGAATGCAGCCTCTGGGAAGGGAGCTGGATGCTCTCCCTTCCTGGGGGGACACCAGCCAGATCATCCTTTGGTCCTGTTGCTTTTGCCTGCGTGCATTTGGGGAATGGCAGGCAGAACAAGTGCAGCTGGTGTCTCCCCAGTGCCTGTTATTGATTGATGGAAGCATCACTGTCTACCCTTGAGAGGGAGATGGATGTCTATAGTCCCGTACTGCAGGCTCGAGCAGGACTGGGGTTGTGTCTGATTTGTGATGGACTGTTATTAGCCTTGCCCAAAATGGGTTCAGCCCCATAGACATCAGTGGTACCACGTCCCTTTGCATTAGACTGTGTGTCCAGTTGCTCTTGGCAATTCTTTCCTTGTGTGCGTTATGCTCTTCCAGGGAATATCAGGTTGGCACAGGGCTGAGGGGTGGAACTGCTGGGGAATCCAGTAAGGTAAACCTGAGTGTTTACGTGAGAAGTATCAACCCCCTAATGAACGTAGGTAGGCTTTGTGGGAGGTGGACAGAATGACTTTGTGCATGCTGAACTGTGGAGGATGCTTTTAGCTTAATGGAGCGAAGCACCTTCCTCCCGCAGAGATCAACTAATTGCTGATCCTGAGTCACCAATGGCCTTAACTCATCAAACATCATTAGCTCCCCAGCATCTGCCCCATGAAAGGGCGCTCACATCACTGTCTGAATATCCAGCTTGTGCTCTGGCATTCCAGCAAGAGCTGAATAAATCTGCTAAATGCTCTACATGGAGGGTGTGACACGCCGGCGGTTAGTGCTAATTATCGATGTGCATAAGAGTGCTTTTCATCCACATACATCCCAAAGTGCTTTGCAAGCCACCTATGTTTTCAAAACATCCTCATTGCCCCAAGAGGAAATGCAGCCATGCTGAGATGTGCCCGGCCATCCCACGCAGCCTCGGCGGGGCAGGAAGCGATGCTTGGCAGATGTCACTCGAGGGGATCTCTGCGCTGGAGCGGTCCCGGCGCTGTGGTCAGTGGGACTTCCCTTCCAGTCACACCAGTTGCACCAGCTTCCTGCATCAGTGGCTGCATTTGAAAGCGTTGGCCTTTAGCTTGGACTGTGTCTCACTTGGTGGTGCCTCGTCCCTTTGCTTTTTCATGCATTATTATTGATACTGTGTTTATGTAGCTGTGGTGTGCATTTAGGGTGTTGGTGTGTGGATCAGGCTCTCCTCAAGTGTAGCTCAGAGCAGCTTGCTTGTCCAGAGCCTGAGGGTGATGGCTTTCCTCCTGTAAAACCTGCCTTTGTCCACAATAAACCCACATGGTTGGACTTTGGTTTTTGTGCACAAAAGACGGTTTATGCCGGCTTTTGTATGGCCTCAAAGGGAAGGTGCTGAATCGCTGGCTTTGCCACTTTCCTTATGTCTTCAGTTTATGTTCTGCTTTGAGATCTCAGAGGAGAAATCTCAGGCTGCAGGATGCTGCTAATGGGGTTTGAAGTTCCTGCTCTGGCTGTATTGACACAGGGGAGAGGACAGATTTATTTTTCCTTTGACAAGTGCATTTCAAATGTATGTGTCTGTACATGGGTGTGTTGCTAACGCTATCCTTGAAGTGCTGTGCTTTTATAAGCCTGGTTTTGTTTTGCTTTTATTTTTCAAGGAGATCTGTGGCAAGAAAGGAAAGTACTGAATTTTCTCTCTGACTTCCACCCAGGGTGGTTGGGAAAGGGGACTCTTCTCCACACCTGATCTGTGTGGCATTAATCTGCATTTACAGCAGTGCTTGCTCTGTTTCACTTCAGAGGATTGTGTTTATGTGAGATTGTGAGACCTATTTGTACAACGCTCTGGGAAATATCAGTGTTGTGAGTTTCTCTTCTGTTGAGAGACATTCAAATGATCAAACGATGACTGCTTAAAGGTTGAGACCAAGTGTGCCTTTTTTCAGCCTCATAACTGCAGACAGGGGTTCATGTAGACTCTGGGCAGTGTGGCTGTAAATGCTACTGTAATATTGATAATAAAACCTAAGCAAACAATTGAAGGTCAAAAGTAATTGAAGTACCAAAATATCTCTTTTCACCTCTGCTCTGCTTGGGACATCAAACTCCCTCATCCTCATGCTTAATTGCTTTTTTTCAGACAAACACTTCTTGTACATTCATAGAATGGTTTGGGTTGGAAGAGAGGTTTAAATTCATCTATCCCAATCCCCTGGCAATAAGCAGGGACATCTTCACCTAGACCCCAGGTTCCTCAGAGCCCTGTGCAGCCTGGCCTTGTATGTTTCCAGGGATGGAGCATCCACCACCTCTCTGGGCAACCTGTGCCAGTGGCTCACCACCCCCATTTAAAAAAATTTTCTTCCTCATATCTGGATCTGAATCTACCCTCTTTCAGTTTAAAACCATTGTCCCCTGTCCTGTTGCTACAGACCCTATTAAAAATCCTGTTCCTACCTTTTGCCTCTCTGACTTTCATGCATGAAAGGGTCTCCTTGTACACAGCCACAAAGCACAGAACTGTCTTTTAATTCTCCTTCTGGCTCCTCCTTAAAGCACATGTGAAAAATTTTTAAAAAAAAAAATAGTCCCTAAATAAAACCCTGGGCTTTAGTTGTGTGACCAGCCAGCCGAGACCAGGGCATGTTGAGCTGGTCCAGTACTGACTCACTGTCTCCTGGTCCTCTCCTGCTGGACGTGCCTGTCTGTTGTCTCCTGTGTGAGACGTGGGTTTGGAGCAGTGTTTTGTGTCTGTCCGCTGCCCGGCACGATGGGCTCGGGGCTGGACTGTCTGGCAGGGAAGCACTGTGAAAAACAAGCGCTGTCGTAGAGCAGCTCAGCTCCCTATCGTTAGATCAGTGTGCTCTGCCTGCTCATTTATGTGCCATGAAGTCAGAGTATTTTCTGTCTGGCTGAGATGTATGTCTGCAGTTCTGACTAAAACAAAAGCTTGTCATCGTGTGCTGGTTGTACAGTCCTCTAGTGCTGTGGGGTTTGGTTTTTTTTTCCTCCCAGCTGGTTTATCTGGGTTTGTCCTTGTGCATCAGTTTCGTTCTTACATCAAGCAAAAGCAGTTTAATCAAGGTCATTGGAAGAGCTGCTCCTCTCTGGTGGGACAAGCAGGAAGAGGTTAAAGGGCTGATTTACTGATTGCAGCCCTGTTCCTAGGGGCAGCTCTTTGATGAAGGGCTTATTTTGGTTCCTGAAGTGGATCCTTCATATCCCACCTCAAAATGCATTGTAAGGATGTCCTCCTTAAATGAGAATGTGGGATGTGGACTGAAGTAGGACAATTAGTGCAGGGTTGTCATAGGCTGTCAAGTAGTGGAGATGCCAGGTGGAGTTTGGCACAGTGCTGATTGGGATGAAATTTTATAGGAGGGAGAAGAAAGAACATCTCTTTATTCTGCAGCAAAGAACAAAAGATAGGTATTGTGCAAAATTATCTCCTTTTTTCTGTCTTCTCTCTAAGGAGTTTTAATCGGTCACTCCCATGCTCAGCTGTGCCGTGCCTCATTTGGGATGCTCTACCCATTAACAAAAATAGGAAACAGTTGCAGACATGCCAGAGAAAAGCACCAAAAATTGAGCAAAGATATAGAAAACAGAAAGACTGAAAGAAATGGGGTTGTTTGGGGATGAGAGGGCTGAGAGGAGAAATAACAGTTCTGGAGTATGCCAAAGGTGGCTGTGAAGGGGAAGGGAGCGAATTGTTCTACATGGCTGGTGATTGGAGGCCAAGAAATGCTGAGCTTGAGCTGCAGCAAGGGAAACAAGTGTAGGAAAAACTTCCTAACCTCTGATTGCCAGAGGAGTGGAGCAGTGGAACAGATGGTTTGGGATGGGCTTGGAGTCTCCATCATGGCAGTTCTGAGTAGCAGGTTGGCCAAACTCCACTTCAGAGAGCTGAATCTGTGTAGAGGCAGTGGAATAAATTTGACAAATTCTCCAGAAATTCCTTCCAGTGCTGGTTTGGGTGAATTTATGGGTTTTGAGCCTGGATGCAGGGAGGGGTAGCTAAGAGGCTTAAGGGCACTGATTATGTCACCTGCTCTCCTGATGGGACTCAAGGAAGTCCTCTGACAAGTTCTTTGTAGAAAGTTTTGATTGCACTGAAACTCCATGAGTTTGCACTTATTCCATCTGTCAGAGTGCCTTGCTGCACCCTGCTCCTCCCATATAATCTCCCAGCTTGATCCCAAAAGACCATCATATAT